CACCACACACACGGGTGTTACACATTCAGCTGGAATTCTCCCCAGTTTAAGCCCAAATTACAAGTGCTCAGCAACAGCTGAAGGACACCAACATCAAAAGAGTTCTAATAGCTAAACAGTAAAAGACCATTCCCACATCCCACCTGAGCCAAGGGAAGGGGTCAGCTCCTTCCTGCACTGAGGGGGCACATCAGAGAAGGGGAGAGGAGACCCCAGCCCTGCAGTGACCCCAGAGGCACTGCGAGAGGGGCTGTGCAAGCAGCAGGGCAACCTGAAATGACCAACCAGGAGGGCAGCCAGCACACAGACAGTACTCGAGCAGTGCTGAGCAACTCTGAATCTCTCCAAACGCTCTGCTCCATTTCAAATTCCGCTTTTCTGATAGAGCAGAAACTAGGAAATGTGTAGTTCAAGTCTCCCCACTTAGCTGTAGATCCGAGGATTGAAGTTATGAGAAATAATCACAGGACAGCACCACATTTTGACACAGTCTACTATCTGCACAGGAAATTTTAATTTGAAAAAGCAAGGTAGGAACACTCCCAGGTAAGAGAAAATAGAATATATATATATTATTAAGACAGACACTGCAATGTTTGAACTATTCCATAAATTTGCACTAAAGCCTCTAAATATTCTAAACATAAGGATATAAAAATGCACAATCAGGATTCCCAGCCAGCAGTAACAGCAACGTTACCACGCACCTACAGCACAGAAAGGGTAAAAGAACCTGATCTTTTAAGATGTTAGTCCAACTTAACCCAGAATTCCAAACACTGAAAACAAGCACTTGTTAACTTCATCACTCGTGCTGAAAATATTACACCCAGTCATTTAAAAATCATGATTTCCACTTTTAAGAAGAATTGCCAAAGCATAAGATTAAAACTGAGTGCATAAGGAATAAAAATACACATTTTTTACCTACACTAACACTGCAAGAATGCACGGGGTTTGTTAGTAACACTTGTACAGGCACAAAACACCTGGCATCAGTTGCCTTAAGAAATGCACCAATGTTAAATAGGGAAAATCTGAACCTGTAGCAGCAGAAGGTTCTTGAGTTCTGGCAGTAACAGAGGAAGACTCAGTGTCTTCTGCTTTTCCTTCCTGTAAACTGGCATCTGTAGCGAGTGCTGCTCCTGGTGACGTGTGTCCAGGTGATCCCTGTTCACTGAAACTTTGGTCAGGTTCAACAGGAGTTTCTGACTGGGCTGGAGTAAGAAAAACATTTCCACTGAGTCAAATGCACACAAAATCACCCTGCAGAACACTGGGGGGGTGTTCATCCCACCGCATGCAGAACAATCCCCATCCACGCTCTGACTGCTGGCTCCTGCAGTCACACACAGCACAGCTCCCTGCAGCAACTCTCTACACTGACAGCTCCCAGAAACACACAGGATATGTAATTGTTCACGGCCCAAAATAGGACAGGTCTCCTCAAACCACCATCAGAGCTCCCCCAAAAGGGCACAAAAGGGAGTGTTCTCTCCACCAAGTCTAAGATTCAAACATCCCATTTGATGCTTTTTGTGTACAACAGGATTCAACTGTAAGAGCTCTAAGTTCAGCATTTGGGTTGTTACTTCTTCAATTTGAAAGTGCTGAAACTTTGTAATTACCTCATTTTCATAAGCATAGCCTTCATTTCCTAAAAAAAAAAACAACAAACAAAAAAACCCCAAAACCCAACCACAAAAAACCCCAAACCAAACCATCAAACAAAAACCCAAAGTAAAACACCCCCCAGACAGAAACCCAAGCCAAATAAAAAAATAATAAAAAAAACAAACAGCAAAAAACCCCAAACAAAACAAACCTACCACCCCAAAACCCCACCCACCCATCAAAAACACACCCCCCACAATCAAACCAAACTATTTCTTTGCAGAGTTCCATAGGTTGAACAATACTCTTTTGCAAGGCCAGTTATCAGTTATCGGTTGTCCTCCACTGGAAAAGCTCCCCCCACCCAAGGGAAATGCCAGGGTTACTGATGGAGAGGGAATCAAAAGCAAAGTGCAACCAGGACAGCAGAGAGAGAAACTTTCCAAGAGTTTTCCCTGCACTGTTGATGTAATCAGGTTTCAATTGCAGATACAGAGCCTGCAGGTTAAGCAAGTGAAAACACAGAGCACACAAATCCAGAGCACACCAGGAAGCCACTTACCCTTCTCAGACTCATTTTGGTTACATACTGCATCTTTCCAAGGCTGGATTTCTGCAGAAGTTGGGACAAGATCCGTATTTAAAATCTCATGGCCAATACTGGACGAGAGTCTCGAAGATCGTCTCCTGCTCTGGTCTCTCTCAGCATTACCTGAAGAGTTCTTAAATTTTTCCTGAGCTGGAACAGGCACATTTGATGGAACCATTGGTACCATGCAATTACAGGATTACTAAATAGCCCACAAGCAAATTATGAAGTTCTCCCCTCCCTGGGATAGTTTCAAAGTGTGTTTAAGGACTGAGGTTAACAGCAAAAGCTAACAAGCTTGGGAGGTTAGGCCTCTAACAATTATAACAGTTGTACAATTGTAACAGTTATAAATAAGCATAAAAATACAGCACAAGCCTATCACACAGAGCTCTCAACTTTTTTCTTCTAGTAGCAGAATTGAAGTATAGATACAATCAGTATCTGGAGCAACACTGTTCTCAACAGCAGCTGAACCACTGACATAAAATACCAGGAGTTAGATGAGGATTCAGACACACACCTGTGACCCTGAGCTGGATAATGTACACACACTGAAGTTTTAACACTCTGTGGTCCTAAGGAAGGGAAAGAGCTTTCTTCAGATCTTCACCTCCCTGGTCCTGAGACTGCTACAGAGAATATAATTCTTTCCTCATCAACACACTCAAGCTCTTCAACCTCAACATCCAACACACCAAGGTAAAGTAGAAAGCTGTCTGGCTGCAGTGGCATGAATATTTATGTAGTATTAAAGTGCCTTTGCTAAACAGTGTGGTAAATCCTGCATCTATTAACTGAGGAGTTTCTACAACTTTTAAGGCTTTTATAACCTTCTATATATTGGAGGCAATATAATCACTATGTTTATGAACTTCTTTCTCAAGGCTCACAGCTGATGCCTCCTTTATCCAAACCCAGCTTCCAAGATTTAGGAGGGAATTCCAGCAGGATGATGCCACATTTGAATGGCCAGTATAAGAAAAACAGGTGCTGGATTTCAGTCAATGCATCTGTCCCAGTTCAAGGTTAATATTACAGTTTTCCCCCTCCCCATCCCTTAAGTTTGAAGAACTTTACATATGTTAAATAGTGTGAGGGTTGAGTACCAGAAAACACTCACACAAGTTTTTTTCGATCCTGGCACGCTTTGCTGGAACATCCCCTCCTTTTGGGATTTTCCGACGTCTTAACTCCAAAGTTATGGGCTGCAGGGTCTGGGAACTTGGCTCTGTTTGGAGAGAGAAGGAAAACTGACTGGATATGAAGCTTTGAAACACTAACCCCACTTCCAAAGCCTCACAACCTGAAACCCTGAGCCTGCATAAATACAGCCTCCCCTGGCTTTCTGAAGCTCTCACAATAGCATTCAGCCCTACTGCAGGATTGCTTTATAATGCATGAGGGTCACCTGCCTAAACCTGATCCCTGACCAAGCCACTGAGGCTCCAAACCCGACAAGGATGCTCAGCTGGCCTGAACAAAGGGGAGTTAAAGATTTTTTAAAAAGCTTCTAGAGATGTAGGCTGTGAAAGAGCAAGATACTTCTTATTCCTTCAGGTAAGTTCAGAAATGTTCTGCCATATGGCCTAAACATTCCCCCTTAGCTACGTACCTGTTGGAGGGGTTATTGGTGGTCTGCCACGCTTCCGTTTGGTTTCTTTTGTGTTCTCCTGTGGACTCTTCACATTGTCATTCTCAGGCTTCTTCTCAATTTGTGTATCTACTGAATATTCCATATCATTCTCTGATATATTCTCTTTATCTTCTTTCCCATTCTTAGATATATTCTTTTCTGAGACCTTGCCTTTTTCTGAGATGACCAGAAATTTTCCCTCTTTATCAGGCTGCTTGACTCGTTTCTCAGTCTTCAGTGTCTTTTCATCTTCGTCTTTCTTTGCGTTACCTGCTGCTTTCCTCTGCTCTTTAAATTTCTCCCGGTTTTCAGGAGATGACGGAATTTCATCACCTCTTTCCTTAGGCTTAGCATCACCCACAATATTCTAGATAAAGAGAATGACATGAGAAAATCAATTTATTGCAGTCTGAAGTCACCCCTCGTCTCTGTATCGAGCAGTCCTGTATCCTTGTCCTGTTTTTCAAAGGATAAAAGGCAGAGTCATTAAAGCAACTGCAATCACCAAAGTCATCAGGAACCACATTTAAACTTAAACCCAAAATTTGGAACTTTCTTTGTAATTTGTGTCCAGCACGAGAGGATATGAAAATCCTTAATGGTCCCTGGCCAGCACAGTGCTGATTCAACATTCAACTGACACCTCATCTCCTCAGAGCTCTTAGTAAATAACACCAGACCAGAAGAACACCCTGGACCAACAGCTCCTTCATGTCCTTCCCTTTTGGGATCAGGATCAGAGGACAGCTAAATACCTCAGTGCTTCTTTGGGGAAAGAGAGACAGCTGATTTGAGCTATAAAAACTTCTCAGAACCTGCATCTTCACCCTATTATTTCAACCATACTTCAGATAGACTTCATTAAAAAAAAAAGGAAAAAAAAATCACTGTTTAAAAGTGTGAAATCAAATTGTTAAGTATTTAATGAAAACAAGTAGGCAAATGGGAAAGAAAGCCTTTCACCTTCTGAGATGTCTGAGCATCGCCTTTACCAGACATCACAATAATCTGTCTTCTGTAAACTCCTTAAGTGCCACAGCTACGGGAGAAGCTTCAGCGGAAACTCAAACGTTATTAAAAAACCAAAAAAAACAAACCCACAAAAAATAAAAACAACTGAAAAAACAACCCTCAGGCACTGTGTTTCAGCACTTGCTCACAGAACCAGCTGATTTGAATCAAGTATGTGCTACTGGAACTCTCATAAGCCATCTTAGTCAAAACATTCTCAGGAAAATGAATCATGACTCCAGTATGTCTGAATCACCTGCTGATGTTCCTGATCCCTCCAAAGCTGTGTGTCCTCGCAAAGGCACATTCACACTGCTGCAGGTCATTAGCATTTTATACCATCCCTGCTCAACATGGCCTGTTACACCCTCTACACTCTCATTAATTCTGATCAGCTCACGTTGCTCTCTTCAGGAATCAGGTGGTTGGGAGCCTCTTTTTCCCCCTTAACAACTACCAAGCTGTGAGCCATGTGTGCCTTCAAGGCTCCCTTCTCTCCTCCTGAAGAACAGACACCTTCCTCCAGGTCCAGCAACTGCTGCACCCCTGCTGTACCTGAACCCCCACCCTGGTAACTCACACTCACATCTGAACCTGCAGCTCTCCAGGGGCTCAAGTGTGGGGTTTTTTTTTTTGTTTTTTTGTTTTTTTTTTTTTTTTTTTTTGGTTTTTTTTAAACTTTACTTCTGGCTGTGTAAACAGAGCTTACCAGGAAACTCTCACTTGATGCTGCTTTATGCTAAAGGGCAGAAAAAATGTTCTGCCATAACTTGAAGAGATTCTCTTGGACTAAGAAATCTGGTCAATGGTTAAAAGGAGGGAAAAAAACCCAACCCTTCAGCTCCTTTCAAAGAATTTCCAGAGCTATGCAGAAACATGAAACTCCCTAAAGGAGAGACAAAATATTTTGGCTTTCTTATGCAGAATATTTCCTCAGATTGTTCAAATTCATGTATTTAATGCTAAATATGGTGGAAACATTTGTCATGATGGCAATGAAGACTCTGCAGGTTGTTCCCTTGTATTAGTCAACCTTCAACCAGGCACCACAATAACCATTTAAAAGCTACTAATTGCACTTTGTGGCAAATCTGAAATCGTTTTCCCTCCTAGCTTAGCAGACACAGAAACCTGGAGACCTCCAAGGAATGGTACACCTCCTCACAACAGTTTAAAATTTAACAGTTTAAATTTAACAGATTTAAATCGTAGTGCTGGCAATTCAATCCTGGAATCTCTGTTTAACACTTGTGCTGGGGAGACTGAGTCGATCTCTTTGCTCAAACAAGGTTCAGAAAACTAAAACCATGACAAAAAACCACAGGTTACAGCTGATGAAAGGTCTAAAACTTTTAAACCCTCCCTATAACAAAAATTATTCTGAAGCAGGTACTTGGGAAGCTTTGACCAAGTTACTCAAGACCAGAACTTGTCAGCCTTTCCTACAGAGTGCTCACACATGAAAATCAATGTACAAAGCAGTTTTTCTTCCATCTCATCAGAGCAGGACAAATTGTAATTATTTTTTTTTCATACAACTGTTTACTATTACTTTCCATCGTGAGCTGAAGGCTGAACCACCACACTGAGCAGGTGAAGGGTTGGTAGGGCAGCCAAACCACAGAAGTGGAAGAAGGAATAGTTAAAAAAGCTTATTTTCTCAAAGTTGTGAGGTGAAAGATTATTGGCCCTGTTCCTTAAAAGTCTCAGGACAATTAAGTGGTTCCTTTGGGAAAGAACAGTTTCTGCCCCCTCCCCGGTTTCCATCCCTTTATTTTTAAGGCATACATAAACTCATCTCAGTGACTTCTTTAGTTCAAGAGGTGCACTCAGAGAACCTGAATTACGAGAGCTTTGCAAATCACACCACAAAGATTCACAGAATCTTTCCATTTTACGACACTTCACTTCAGATACACAGTATTTTAGCAATAAGGGTGTTTCAGTCATTTCATGTTTAATAATCCATCAAATCCACCTGAACTTAGAATACACCAGGCAGCACAAACACAATACCCACCTGATCTTTGGAAAAAGCTTTGACATGAATGTTCTTGACCGTCTGAACTACACCATCATAAAATTTCACAGTGTAAGTACCTAAAATTTGAAAATAAAGCACGAGTTCAAAGATCAGAAGTTATTTAACACAGCATTTCCTACCAGCTCCAAGACTCCAGCTGAATATTTAGCTCTAGATAAAAGCTGCCTTATCTGTGTCCTTAGAACCCTCAACAGCAGAGCTCCCATCACAGGCCAAGTAAGGGAGACTCAAAGTTACCCAAAATAACTCTGGTCAGAATAAAGGTGCATGTCTGCTCTTCAGAGTTGTTCCTTAGATGCACTTTACTCACAAAATTCCAAAATATTCTTGGTGGAATATTCTGATACATAATTACACAGCCTTTTTCTCCTTGATCTCACAACACAGTCAACCTAAAGTAAACTCAGCACTAGAACAAGCCCTTCATGGTTCCCCTCCACTTCCCTTCTGGTTTTTAAAGGGCTCTTGCAGCTCTGACACCAGTTTTACTGCAGTTACATGCATCTCTTAAAAACAAACTTCAGGAATTACTTTTCCCAAATATAGACTTCAAGCAAGTCCTGACTGGATATCCCAGCAGAAAGGTTTTATATCTCACGAACAGGATGAGAGGCTGTAACACATAATTGAAAATACATCTTCCCACAGCTGTCTTCTGTCTGCTGTACTACCTCTCCACCTAAGCAAAGAGGTCCCAACACAATTAGAAATGCATCATAACAACCATGACAAAAGCAGAAACAAGGCCTTACCATCTTTGTTAACAGAAGTAACTTTGGCCGGGTAGAAGCGACAGTCGGACCAGCAGGCCAAGACCTGGTCATTGATATGGAACCCCTACGAGACAGGAGGTGAAAGTGTCTTCATCTGAGAATTACTGAGCATACAACTTCATGACAACATTCCAGTCATCAGCCCTTTAATATTTAAAACAAACTGCACAATAAACTGCTACGTGCTCAAATGTCCCGTAGGTTCTACTTACTGCACAGCCTTCCTCCTCATGCAGTCCTTCTTTCCTTAACTGGATTTTCTCTAAGGGACGCAGGTAAGGGCTGTCCCAGCAGAACCACTCGTCGTATCTGTGGTTCCAGCGTTTGAAATGGATAAGCACTTTCCCCTCTTCATAATCGATTTCTTCAATGTGGGCTGGGTACCTGGCCAAAGGGAGATAAAGATGTTTTAACGGAGAGGAAGGTAAGCTGTGTCAGATGTTTCATACAAACAGAGCTCGGTTTGGCTTCTCCAGTCTTATTCCTAATTGATGTACCAATTGTATGAGCAATAAAGGTGCTACAGAATGACTGAGCAAAGCACAGAACAAATCCCAAAACTGAACAGCAAAGAAAACATTGGCTGCAGAAAAGGAGACAACTAAGGAGTTCTTAGTCTGGGGTGGAAAAAGAAATGGAACTAGAGATCCAGATGTCAGAAAAACCTTCCCTACACCTAGATATCTTACAAAACTGATAGCTTTGGCTCACTGTTATCAAGAATAACACCTGGGGGTCAATGCACTCACTTCTCCAAGAAGGCATCATGAATCATCTTCCCAGTACAACAGCAAAAGCCCAGCAGGCACACCGAACCTCATCTAAGTTTTAGATTCTCAAAGTTAATTTTCATCTGCAAAGGCCTGGGATTTTAAATATAAATTTCTCAGAAGTAGAGGAAACTGAGACGGGTCAAATTCAAATGTTTCTGATCAGGAAGACTTTGTAAACTCTGTATTTCTTTAAATTGCATTGGTAATTTGTAACTTCAGCAAGTATTTTGAAATCACAGCATATTTCACTACCCCAGCTGAAGGTAACATCCCAAGTACCAAAGTTTTCCCCTCCACAATAATGACAACAGGAGAAAATTTGCACTTGTTGATGTTTTCAGTATTTTGAAAGAAAGGCAAGGCCTCAGTGAACTCTGTAACAAAGAGCTGAAGACAAAACCCAAATCCACAAATATTCTTTACCTGGCAAAGCACACTTAGAACAAGTGGCACAAAGAAGTGGAATCTCAAAAGGAGACTGATACTACACAATAAAGCCCAGACATGTCAGAATTAAGACTTAAACGCAACCCAGGCTACCATTCCACAACCCTACCTACACACAGGAAAAGCAAAGCTACCTCCAACTGAAATCCTGTAGCAGATGGGAGACAACATCCAGTCATGACTGTTTAGAAAGAGCTACAAATAAGCCACGTTAGACATTTACAGACTAAGGCCCCACTTCACTCTCAGCGCCACAGGCCTCAAGCCGTGCCATGAGTTCCTCCCAGGGTATTGCCAAAACACAAACAGCAAAGGCTGGGGAGGAGAGGGAGTCAAATGGAAGATACTCATGGCAGGGACATCTCTAAGTCACTACCAGCTTCCTAGAAAAGAAGCAACTTCCTTCATGTGACAGTCAAGGTGGTTCATATTCAAGTAACCTCAAGCACTGCCCTCCACAAGTTCACGAGGGGGCAACAGTCACAGTCACAAAGTAGTTCTACTAAACATAAGTAATTTTGGACTATTACTAAGCACAGGTAACGACAAAAAACCAGTATCCCCTTCCCTACAATCTGAGTGCAGCAAAACCAGGCAGGAAATCTCAGGTCCTCTCAATAAGAGAACAGCCATGGGGACTGCAGTGGGCCTGCCACTGGGCTGGTTCTCAAAGGTGAACAGGGGAGCTGATAGAAGTGTCAGAGTAGTGACTCAGGATCAAGATAACCCATAACTATCTCTGGTAAACACAATTCACTGTCTCCCCTTGAGGAGAGACAAGCCCAGGTGAGAAGAGCCAACTAAGTCCATGCTGCAAGGCTGTTCCCCTTCAGTGCTTCATAGGCAGTGAAAAGGAGACCTTTCTACACCAGAACCATCGCCCCAGAACCACACCCCAGTGCCATCTGCACCTATCTCACCTCACCTTCTCAAGACTCCCTGATGGGAGTCCAGACCAGCAAGAGAAACACACCTGACAATGAGACCCGAGTTCAGCTTGGCTGAGGCAGTGTGGGGGTACCAGAGCTCTCAGCCAGCTCCTGGAGAACACGTGCAAAGCCTCAACAGATCTTCTCTTTCTGAAGCCATGAACATCAGCAAACAAACGTTCAGAGCTCTCGACTGAACAGTAAACCTGTCAGAACCTGTGCCAGGTCTGTCCATGAACTCTGACAGCCCCCTCCCCAATCCCACCTCCCTTCCAGATGACAGCACTGGCTGCTCCCAAACCAAACAGAAAGGTTCAGCGGTTCTCAGCAGCCCTGAGCACCACACACTGACAGTCCCAGCTTCCTCCTCCCACACCTGCACCCCTTCACAGCACTGAGCAAGCACACCCTGTCAGGAGCCACAAGTGTGCACTCATCTCTGCAGAAGAGTTAACAGAGCTTACCCATCCACATCTTCCAGAAAGCCTGTGAACATGCCAAGGGGCAGAGGTCACTTAAATTCAGGCTTGTTTATTAAAAAAAACCATACTCTGGGAGGACACACAAAGTGAAAGGCCAACAGCTGAAGCCTGACTAAGGCCTAACAGAGAGTACAAGCCGTGTGTCCAGGATAGCCCAACACATCCTCCCCCAAAGCACAAAGGAAGCATTCAGCTGCTCAATGGCTATTGAAGACAGCTAACTGATCCTGGCTAAGAAATCCCCAACTGGTACTGATCTGAATATTTATCTAAAACACTGTGAAAAACAAGCTGAAATCTGAGACAACTTCTTGCAATTTACTGGGAGGGCAAAACAAGTAGTTTTCCAATTGAATGTGAAAGGATTGGTGAGCTCTGCCGTTCAAGGCCTTAGGAACTGGCTACACGGTAAGGGAAAACCTTCTGAGATGCCCTAATTAGTGGCATTAGTTTTGTAAGAACCCAAGTAACAATCAAAAACTCAAAAAAAATATCAAAAACTCACACCATGGCTGTCAAAGCACAGCAAACAGTATGAGAATGCATTTATGGCAGACACAGATTTACCTCTGGGAAGAGGGAAATATCTGGAAATTCCCTGGACTAGTCTATCTCCCTTCTCCTTTCCTACACACCAGAACAGAATTGCTATTAACTCCCACTCCCCTGGAGCTGGGAAGGGACAAGCTTAGTGCAGTCAAAGCAAGGCAGAGAGGAAAGGGAGAATCCAGGAGGATTAAGAGCCATGGGGGTTCATTGTTTCAAGCACTGAGACCAATTCCTGACAGCATGGACAATTAAACTCGTGGAACTGACACTCTAAATCTTAACAGGGTACACCACCCTCTCACAATACCAATTTGGTTTCAATGCTTGAGAGCCCTAACCAGAATCAAAATTCTTTTCACATCCATTTTAAACAAACAAACAGAAAAACTGGGGAGGTGTCATCAGAATAAGGTAACACAAGAGATGCCATTATTTGCCTGCTACAGGTAACCAACGCAGTTGTCTTCTTTTCAGTAAGAGAGGATGCAGCCAGCCAGCACTGCAGAGCTTAAATGATCCCATGCAAAAGGTCTGAGGAAGTCAATTCAGCCAGGACAGCGTGTCCCTGTCCATCACTACAGCAATCCATCTGGGATCTGTCCATGCAGGACTGTCCTACTGGAGCAGTCCCACTCCCCCACCCTCTCAACTCCAGCACTGTGTACTGGGAGAGCTCCCAGCGGGCACAGGGGCACCTCCACATGACCAGAGCTCTCCTCCTTTAGCACCTCGAGGTCAACAGACACTGCCATGAGTCTTTCATGACAACTCTGATGCACCAACTCAAGCCCTAAGAACTAAACCAAGCACCAGAAGCACTCCCTGTACTCCCTGGAGCTGGAGCACAGGAGGTGACAGACAACTGCACCAGGGAGAGAAGTGCACTTCCAAATCCAGCAAAGCAACCTCCAGTATCAGCTCTACAGATGCAACATTCACTCTGCACTCTGGCAAGGAGCAGACCCCGCGCTGACTGCTCTGCTGACACACACAGAGTCTTCTTCCACGGGGTTGGCATCACATCCAAACACCCTGGAAGTCCTGAATTAACAATTCAGGGCACAAGACACTGCCATGAAGGGGAGGTACACTGGGCTCTGAAATGAAGTACTTCCCAAAGCACCAGTGCCATCTGAGCAGCAACAGCGGCCCATGAACTGACAGATGTGTTTGATACTGAACACAGAAATCAAAGCCCTCTGACCAAATAGGACACTTAAACCTCCAAAGGTCTAGCACTGGGAGAAGTGTCAGCAAGCAAAGTTGTGTAACCACCCCACGGGGTGGTTGTGGTCACACAGGGGCAGGTGAACATTGCAGGGGAAAGAGCAGCCTGCTGTCCTCTACAAATGCACACCAAGGAGTTGGGGCAGCCTGTCACCACTGATATTTTTGCCCACAGAAAACAAGCCCCCAACTCTTACAAACTTCAGTTCAGAAACCCCAGAAACAGAGCTACACACAACCCAGGTGTCAAAGCTCAAGCAAGCAAATGAAAGCTTTCACAACCAGAGAGTTCATAACTAAGCTGTGAGATCAGAGCTGCAAAGCAGTGTGTGCAAGACAGGCCATTTATGATGTGTTTCCAAAAACCAAAGAACATGGTTTGGTTTGGGACATTCAGCATATCCAAAATTCAAATTCAGGCCAAGGGTTATGGGGAAAGTATAGCAGGTTGTTGAATTCCCCCCACCAAGTTTTCCCCTTCAAGAGCTGTGATGCTGTTGCTGTGCAAACACATCAGAAGGATAACAGTTATTAACACAGTTATCAGCCTTCCTCAAACACCAGCTGTACCAAACTGCATCTTTAATAAGCCTACAGCAGAGACAGGCTAAGAGATCTCTTTTTGGAGGCCTGACTGCTTGTTTTTTGGTGTACAAACAAAACTCAACAATACCAGAGATGCAGCAGATTCGATCGGTGCCTGCCTGTGCAACTCTGGGTTACACAGGTAGCCAAATCAACATGTAAATGTGATTTAATGTTCATACTCATGTTCTCTATGGAAAAAGTTATGTTTACTCATTTTCACAACGCCAATCCCCCTGTACCTGTAAAATAGAGGAATGCTCTGCATGCAAGCAGAGTATTTTGGAACAAATTCCCTATGTCTAAGGCAGTGCTCCATCCTTCTGAGATGCCCAGATGGCTTTCAACACTGGCTTGGCACACTTAGCCTATTGGTAGGTCCCAGAGCCTTC